TTAAATTTTTGAAATCTGATTGTATTTTTGGATTTGGGAGGTCCATTTGCTCCCTATAGAAGCTAATATTGCTGCATATTCCCATTGAGGTGACAAGAATTAGCAAAATAGTGGTTCGGGCGCTTTTCAAAAATAGTACCGGACGCTGTTCCTCTTGTGACGTCATAGCTCCGTGACCTGACCTGACCCGGTCAAGTTTCTTATACCATATGATAGCCAATACTTGCCCCAATATGCATGGGAAGTTTCATCACGATCCATCAACCGATGTCCGTACCAACGGCAGGAAACCTCGGGCGTTGGCACTCAGTTTGTGAAAATCCGGCCGGAGGCTGTTCCCTTTGTGACGTCATAACTCCGTGACCTGACATGACCCGGTCAAATTTTTTTTATCAAAAGATGCGCAAGGTTTGCCCCATAAGGTACCCAAAATTTGGCGGCGCTGCGCGCCGCCGTTTTTGCACTATTTCCGAAAAACCTCAGGGGGGGGGGGTTGCACCAACCCCCCCTACATGGGCGAGGGTTAAGACGTTTCCATGAGTTTTGAAGGTATGGATAAGTTCTAAAAATCCGGTTCTCCTTATCTGGGCCATTAACTCCATACGGTCCAAGAAAGCTGGCACACTACCTTTAAGTGTTCATACAATTAATATTGTACATGAAAAATATTCATTTTATTTCAAAAGTTTTTTGTACCTACAAGTAGAAGCCTTGACATCCGTTTATCGGTGCGCCGGTTAGAGGGCCTTGGGTTAATATAAATGAACTACAATCCCATTTGCAACATCAGACTGTGTTCAAACTAAATCGGAAGAACACAAAATGGTGATCACTCTTAATCTGAATTTCGAAATATACCAACAAAGCATTTTACCGAAATTGAGAGACAAAGGCGCACACAATTGGGGCACACGGACCCATGCCCCCCCCCCCCATTCGAAAGGGGCACCATCTCAAATGGCCCTCAAATTGGCCCCTAATCTTAATACCACCGAAGGCTGTCTAAAATGAGCTGAAATGACGATTAATAAGACCAGGAGGGCCCATCTCGGACCCCAGCAGGCCCAAATGAGGTCATACAATGTCCAGCGCAGTCAAGGGGAAGGTAATAGATGTCAAATTTCGACAACTTTCAAAAGGCCCCAAAGGACCTTCAACTGGCGTCAAAGGGCCATCAGAAGGCCTTAAAGGGCCCTCAGATGTCATCAAAGGCCCTCAAATGGCATCAAAGGGCACTCAGCCGACATCAAACGGCCTCAGAAGTCCTTGAAGGGCGTCAGAGGGCCCTCCGCCGGCGTCAAACGCCTCCGAAGGCGTCAGAGGGTCCTTGGCTGGCGTCAGAAGGCCCCCAATTGGTGTCAGAGCACCCTCAACTGGCGTCAGAGGGCCCTAAGCTAGCGTCAAATGGCCCTCCGAAGACCTCAAAAGGGCCCTCAGCTGGGGTCAAAGGGCCCTCAGAAGGCCTTGAAGGGCGTCAAAAGACCATGAGATGGAGTCAAACGGCCCTCCGAATGCCTCAAAGGGCCCTTAGCTGGCGTCAGAAGGCCCCCATCTGGTGTCAGAGGGCTCTCAGATGACGTCGAACGGTCCTCAGCTGGTGTCACACGGCCTTCAGAGGGCCTCAAAGGGCCCTCAACTGGCGTCAAATGGTCCTTAAAAGGCCTCAAAGGGCCCTCAAATGGCGTCGAAGGGCCCTCAGTAGGCCTCAAAGGGTCCTCAGCTGACATCAAATGGCCCTCAGCTGGCGTCAAATGGCGCTCAGAAGGCCTCAAAGGGCCATCAGCTAGGTCCAAAGTGCCCTCAGCTGACGTCAAACGGCCCTCAGTAGGCCTCAAAGGGCCCTTGGATTTTCGGGCCCTTTGAGGGCTTCTTCGTTGTGACAGTGCTGCTTTGTCGGTGAGGTGCACGGTCGCCGTGGGTCCCTCGCACGCCGCCGGGACAGCGAGAGGTGGGTGATCGGGGCCGCCGTACGTGCCCTGGTACGGGCTTCCTGAATATCTGTTACGACTGGTACTAGGAAAGTGGGCATGCCGCCTCAAAATTGTGTCTTTTTAGTAGGTATGTGGTATAAAAATGAGAAAAAACGTTAAATTTCTGGTATGTCATCTCGCTACGAATCATTGTAATGACTTTTCATGTCGATGTGCATTAGTAAATGCGCGAATTGACAAAGGGGGTGCTGCCCCGCTCATACACATCCGGACCAACCCGTGACTAGCCTACGCTTCTAGCCAGGCTGGGTCGGTCGGACGGCCGGCAGTCAGGCGCTACCCGCGCTGATTTCTGAGGGCCTTGCATCCACGCTTATTAATCGAATATTTTACGTAATTGTTAAGATGTTGATAATTACTCACTGAATCGTATGTGAATGAAACACGCTGCGTAAACAAAAATGGAACATTAACCCTATTAACTAGTGGCAGGCTCCTGGCTACCCCTATTAGTGGCAGGGGGGGACTGTTTACGACCCCCCCCCCCTCGATATCTCGAGATCTAACGGGCCGATTTTCAAAATTCAAACGGCATTCGATTTCGCTCAACGTGATCTACATTTCTAAAAAAAATTAAAAAATGTCAATAGGGGATAGAGGGGGGGGGGGGTGAAAACGGGCAAATTGCAGATACATTTTAGACTGTTTATCACGGCCAGGTTTCTGAACCAATCTTAACGCAACTTTTGCCGATCGATAGAGAATGAACCAGGAATTCACATGGATCCTAAAAATATGCATTTTCAAAAATCATAGGCGGATACAGATCATTGAGATTGAGGGTACACAAAAAGTATAGTAAATAAGGTTTTTGTTGGTACTGTTTCTAAAAAGGGTGGCAATGGTCTTGTTATGTTACAATTTTCTTATGAGAGAACGACTACAATTGTATTGGTCATGCATAGGCGGTGTCAGGGCACCTATGTTGGGAGGTAAAACATAACCCCCCTTTTTGGACGCCTGGATCCGCCTATTACAGCAAAAACGTGTCAAAAGAGGATGCACAATAATTTTGTATATGTTATCACATGATACCTTTCATTCACTGTTCGTAAAACTGGTGCATACAGTTATAATACATCAGCATCGTGATCTTCGCCCAAATGACTCGCTTCACGAATAGGACCCCCCAATTCCCAGTGCTCTGTAGCCGCCCCTGGTAAAGTTATGAACTTGAAATTTTCAGGGAATGTGCCCAATTTAGTTTTATGAAAAGTCAGAAAATTTCAGCATCGTAGCTTCAGCGGTTTCGGAGATATTCCTGAAAAACCTGAGGGGTGAATGAAAACAACCCCCCCTGCCACTAATAGGGTTAACCCGCGCACCGACGGGGGTCTGCGCCAACTTCGCACCAACGGGGGGGGGGCGGATGACCATTGACCGCCCCCCCCCCTGAGATCTCGAGAACGAAGCAAGATAGCGACAAGCGGTAAACGGCATCGGATACGCACGGTCAAGATCTACAATTTTTACAAAGGTCATTTTCAGGTCAGGTCAAAGATGACGTCACAGGGGTCGAAAAAGTCAAAATGGCGGCGCTAGATATGGAGAGAGTTTTTCTCGAATAACTTTCGAATTAGTCAAGATAGGAACTAACTAAGGGCATCATCGTGATCCTCTCGTCAATCCGCATCGAATGATATATATGTTGACCTCGAAAGGTCAAGGTCAAAGTTTGATCTCAGGTCACGTGACCTCGAGGTCATCATGTATATCATTCGATGCGTCTTGACGAGCTGAACACAATGAGACCATCCACGCGTCTGTATCTTGTTCCTGTACGGAGTTATTGGCCAAAAACCTTTGGTGACCTTTGATGACGTCACATGACCTCACAGCTGCCCAACAGCAAAACAGACCTCAAGGTAGTGAAGGTTGATCGTATATGAAGTCATGTATGGCATATGGGGCCATTCCGACCCGTTTTAGTGGTAAAAACAGGGAGTTGATTTTTCCCCCATTGACTTATAATGGGGAGGTCGCGAAATTGACCTGACCTAAGGTCACCGATATCAAAATTCCGAGATATACAAATTGTAGCTACTAATGACCTAATAATATCCTGCGACTTTCAAAGGCCTCCGACATCTACTGTAGCTCTGGCACGGTGACAAAGTTGCAAAAAAGTGACTTGAGGTTGGGTCATTCAAAGTGACCTGGTGACCTGACCTTAAAAGGTAGGAGGTTCAAACTTGCACACCATGTGTAAAATTGATGAGGCAATAGTCATATCAAATTTCGCGGCGCTACGCGCCGCGGTTTTCCGCTATTCGCGAAAAACCTCGGGGGGGGGGGCGGATATCCGCCCCCCGTCGGTGCGCGGGTTAAATGCTTTGAAAATTGAACGGGTACTGAAGTAATTGTTTTATCATGTATCGACAGAAGCTTAGTTTCAAGTCAACCGAAATATAATCGCGTTGGGGAACTTTTTCGGCTGGAGCCTGGGGCCCTTCGGCATGGAGGGCCCCAGTTTGCAGGTCGTGCCCCCCCCCCCCGTTCAAAAATCCTGTGTGCGCGCCTGTTGAGAGATATGCACCATCTATGCTCCTTGGAAGCGCCCCTACCCTCATTGAAGGTCGCCCCCATCACCAAGTGCACCCCCATCTCAAAAGCAAAAGTTACACCCCTGCTCCTACCCACAGAGGGCCTCCTCTCTACTGAGGAGTCAGAGGGGCCCTAGCGGTCAGACACAGACACTAGTGAGGAGATGAGAAGGGCCCTAGCTGTCACTTGTCAGGCTGATCAGAGGGCCCTGATTGTTCTGACGTCATTTTTTAGATTCCCGCGTGAATTTCGTTCGCCTCCGACGTGATTTTGGCCAGTTGGATTCAGGCCGAAAGGATTCAGGCCAACGTGGGCCTTCGGCCCACGTTGGCCTGAATCCTTTCAGGGGGGCCTCCTGAAAACCCCAAGGGAGGGGCGGGCGCCCCCTCCGCCCCCCTTGGCTACGTCCCTGCAGTACAAATCCCAGCCATCAGAGCCACAATCCCGCTCCGTTCGGAGCCTCACCCATTGACCCAGCGCCGGCACCACCCAGCGCCGGCACCAATCGATCCAGTGTCGGCGGCCGGTGGTGCTGACGGGGCCGGGGTGGCCGCAGCGCCGGCACCAGTCGATCCAGTTGCGGCGGCCGGTGGTGCTGACGGGGCCGGGGTGGCCGCAGCGCCGGCACCAGTCGATCCAGTAGCAGCGGCCGGTGGTGCTGACGGGGCCGGGGTGGCCGCAGCGCCGGCACCAGTCGATCCAGTTGCGGCGGCCGGTGGTGCTGACGGGGCCGGGGTGGCCGCAGCGCCGGCACCAGTCGATCCAGTTGCGGCGGCCGGTGCAGCGGCGGGGGCGGAGGTCGCGGCGCTGGAGGTGGTGGTATTGGAGACCGCGGCGCCAGAGCCAGAGGTCGAGCTGACAGGTCCCTCCTCCGTGGTGTTCTCGCCCCTTGCCTGCGATGGAAACCGGAGCAGGGGCGGCTTTAGTTCAGATATCCAGTTGAACACATCAGTAGTTGAACACATGAAAATACAACATAAAATAAAGGAGCAATGACAAGGGCATGGGTGGAGATTTGAAAAAGTTACCCCGGCGGCCCGGCCGGCGACCGAAAGTCAGAAAGACGATATGCTCAAATATTTGTCAACGGTTTTCAACAAACCCTTATTCTGAGGCATGGAATGATGGATGCCGTTTGCCCCCTCCCGTTTTTCTGCAATAACTTCCAAACCGCTTGACATATCGACGCCAAACTTTCAGTACCTTCGGTTGCACCAATTTGACACATTGTGTCAAAATTTGAACTTCGTAGCTACCATAGGTCGGCCGGAAATGACGTCAGAGTGACGTCATGTTCGGCCGATTTCGACGCAAAACATTGAACAACGGCAATCGCTCCGAAGAGCTCAGTTTTTAAGCTAGATCCAATTTCTTTGCATGAGAGGACTCAAAATAGACTGCGCTATCAAACTGCTATCTCGGATTTTCGAAATTTTGAAAATTTCGAAAATGTTATATAATAAAATTCAAAATTTATATTTTTACATTTTTTTTCATAAAGCTTTTGACTTTTCGAAAAAAACGAAATAAATGCGATAGAACGCATTATTATGACTAACTCTAGCAAGTTTTAGCTTAATATCTTCAGCAATGGCCAAGTTATACGCATTATTGCAAAAAATCACAATTATTAATTTTTTTAATCAATTTTTTTCAGCACGTATCATCGTACGCCAATATAAATAGCACCATCGTGTTCCTGAGCTCAAACTGCATCCAATAGACACCTTTATTGTTGAAAAATTATAACTTCAATATTTGACCTTTTTTGACCTGAAAGTGACCTGACCTAAGCTAAATTCGACTCAAAATGACCTCGAATGACACAGACGACATCAAATTCGAAATCTTTGGCCTAAACGGACCATAAAGCATGTGTCACGTGACCAACGCATGATATGATATTTTCGTGACCTGTGATGACCTGACCTTGACCTGAAAATCAAAGTACAAGTTTGGTACCCTCAGGGTATCTAGAGCATCTGTTCACGAGTGTGTGAACCAAAAATGAGCCTGATCTGACTTGTAGGACGGCGGCCAAACGTGAACAAGCCAAAATGCTAATAATTTTTACTTTGACCTGACACCTGTGACGTCATCGGTGACCTCGAGGTCAATGAAATTAGGTTTCGCTCGACAATTTTTCCGGGGCTATCAGACGCCGTTTGAATTTTGACGATCGGCCCAGTAGTTTCGGAGTTAGGAGGGGGGGGGGGCTATGGAGAGCCCCCCCAGTAGGGCGTGTTATACGCAGACCCCAGTGGGGCGCGGGTTAACCCGCGCCCGGCTGGGGGTCCTGGATTTCCACGCCCTGCTGGGGGGGGGGGGGGTGTTTGAACACCCCCCCTTCTAACTCGGCTCCTGGGTCACGTAGCGATACGCGGAAGGCGGCGTTCGAAAGAGCGTCAAAAATAATGACGAAATCACTTCGGTCAATTTTTTGGTCAGGTCAAAGGTCAGGTCACCAGAGGTCATTGAAGGCAAAATTTAGCCGATTTCCAGGTCGAATGTCGACAATTTCCAAGAAGCCAACGCATAACTCGGGAACCAATAGAGCTACAGCGCCGCGGAAAAGCGCATTCGATAGCCCTATTAACGCCCTTTCTGAGTAATCATCTCAGATTTGACCTAACGTCAACGGTTTTGCCTGCAGGGGGCAAGAACTGCAAAAATAGCCGATTTTTTGGAAACAGTTTTTCTGCAATAACTTTTGACCCAAGCCTTGTACGAGCTTACTTTTTCCGGCATCGTGTTCCTCTCGTCAAGACGCATCGAATGAACTATAACTTGACCTTGAAAGGTCAACTTGAAAATTTGACCTCAGGTCAAGGTCATGACCTGACCGGAAAGGTTCATGTTGCATATCGGTCGATTCGTATCGTCGAGCTGAACACATCGAAGGCGTTTTTATCGCTCTAGCATGCCTCTATCAAAAGTTATTTGCGAAAAACTGTTATATACCATTCGTGACCTAAGATGACCTCAGGGCATAAACAGGGGTCACGGACACCATTTTCATGTTCAGTGTGTCTAAACCACGTGTTATTCAGTGTTTGGGAGTGTTTATAATGTCTTTCATCCAAAAGAGGCGCATTTCAATTTTCTCCCATTGACTTATAATGGGGACTGGGGAGGTCGCAAAATTGGCCTGACCTTAGGTCATCGATATCAAAATTCTGAGATAAACATTTTGTACATGCTATTGCTCTTAGCAATCGCTGAAAGTTTCAAAGCGATCGGTCACTCGGTGTAGCTATGACAGACATTGAAACTTTTTTATGAGGTGATGTCACTTCAAGTGACCTGGTGACCTGACCTTGAATGACCTTGATCTGAAATTTTCACAACATGTGTAGAATTGCGCCGCCGTTTTTGAGATATTCGCGAAAAACCACAAGGGGGGGGTGTTCAAACACCCCCCTCCCCCCAGCAGGGCGCGGGTTAACCCGCGCCCCGTTGGGGGGGGGGGGTGAAACGGCCCCCCTGTCCTTTTCCGTCGATATCTCCTAAAGGGCTAGAGATATCGCCACCAAACTTTTAGGACCCTTCTTGGCATCAATTTTACACATTGTGACCAAAAAAAATTCCAGAAGCTATGATAGGCTGTCCACAAATGACGTCAGAATGACGTCATGTTCTGCCATTTTCGACCGAAAAAAGACCTTCGCGAGAGGAGCTGTCGCCTACAGCTTTGAAGATACAGAAAAATGATCGCGACATAAAAGGTCTAGAATTGACAGGGCTGCAAAACTGCTATCTCGGATTTTTTAATTTTCTGAGTTTTGACCGCAAAAAAATAAAAAAAACATTTTTTTATAAATTAGCCAAAACATCCAAAAAGTTTTCTGAGTTTCAAAAAAATATGTCAAAGTACCTACCGTCTACTATCTACATATCAAATTTCAGATCGATATCTCGTTTTTTGGCCAAGTTATAGCGAAAAACTGTTCAAAAATGATGACGTCAAATTTTCAAACTGCATTTTTTGCAATTATAGACCAAGTAGGGCAAAAAAGACCACCATTAGACTCCATGTGACGAACTGCATCGTATCGATACCCATTTTATGCCAACATATCAACTTTAAAATTTGACCTAGTTTGACCTGACCTTGACCTGACCTTCCCCAAAGCGTGACCTAAGCTGGCCCCAAAGGCTGCCTGACCCACATAATCGCATTTGTCATGTAAAATGAACCATAAAACATGCACCACACGACACTTTCATATTGTGACCCCCAGTGACCTGACCTCTGTGACCTGACCTGGAATTGGTGACCTCGGATGGCAAAGTATGTGTTTGAAGAACAAGATACCATCGATGGTTTTCAATAACTTACCAATTTAAGTTTCTCAGTGCTTGTGCGAGGATCATATTAAAGCATTTTGATTAAAGGAAATAGTTCACTTTCACGAAATTATTTTTTTTTGCAATGGATTTATGATTTTTTATGTTCAAAATGATCAGCAAAGAAAATAAAACCTATTTATAACAAAAGATTATTTTCTATATTTTGATATAAGAAGAACTTTTCAGTTTCTGTAAGGCACAGGCGATCCAGTATGAAAAGAGCATGGGTTCCGAAAATTCTTCAGAAACTAGAGAAATTATCGTGGCCACCGGCATTTGGGCGATCTGCTGCTGCTGAATGTCCTTATTGATCAGTACGATAATTTCTCTTGAGTTCTCGTAGATAATTTCACTAGTTTCTGAAGAATTTTCGGGACCCATGCTCTTTTCATACTGGATGCGAATATATGCAAGGCACACATCCTCAACGCAATACACCTTTTTCGGGACGAGAAATAGAATATCTTTGCCTAGGGTGATCGTTGGGCTGTAAAAGCTCCTGATTTATGCTCGTCTCAGCCCAAGCTACGGAACTGCTATTCCAGTTCAAAACCCATGTTAAAAAGTGAACTATTTCCTTTAACGATTAATGACCTTACCCTCGTAGTTTGAAAAAGTTAGATCAAAACACTTGTTTATTAATAATTTCGAGCACAGATCTTCATCAGAATACAACTAGCTAAAAATGTCACGATAAAAATCCAATCTTTGACTGCATAACTCATTGCAAAATATTTCCAGCCAAACATTTTTTTGCGCGCAAATTCTCGAGAAAATAGTACAATTAGGTTCAACCGTTTTCAAGATCTAACAGCATGTTTGACCTAAAAATTAAATAAAGTGTTACACATCCAACCAACAAAAATATATCACTTTATAATACCTCGACCAATAATTTGAGGCTATTGCTTACATGCATTGTTAAAAGCTTATTAAAAAAAAACATTCGCAATCAACCTGCCTATCTCTACTGATATTAATATCACGATAGCCTAAGGTCAAATAGCCAACGCTAATATTCTTTTAACCTTCGCCCCAGTGGGGGGGGGGCATATGTTACCACCCTGTCGCGTTTTTCGCGTGTGAATAAAAAACCGCGGCGCGTAGCGCCGCGCCGCTTGGGGTAGCTTTTGGTACATCAATTTTAGACAATGTGTGAAATTTTTGACCCCAGGTCATGTTAGGTCAGGTCACCAGGTCAAGTTAACTGACCAAGCCTTTAACCCTATTAGTGGCAGGGGGGGGTTGTTTTTATCCACCCCTCAGGTTTTTCGGGAATATCTCCGAAACCGCTGAAGCTACGATGCTGAAATTTTCTGACTTTTCCTAAAATTAAATTGGGCTTATTCCCTGAAAATTTCAAGTTCATAACTTTACCTGGGGCGGCTCCAGAGCACTGGGAATTGGGGGTCCTATTCGTGAAGCGAGTCATTTGGGCGAAGATCACGATGCTGCACCAGTTTTACGAACAGTGAATGAAAGGTATACATGTGATAACATATACAGTTATTGTGCATCCTCTTTTGACACGTTTTTGCTATAA